TATGGGTGTTTCTGTACTTCTTCAATACAGTTGTAACATAATAACTTCTCACTTTTTCACGCATATGATATTTACCATGGTAGCCATGTTTTTTTTTTTTTTGGTTCACAAGGGGACAAATGTAATGCATTGTGGGATACTAACCACTGGTTAAATCATTTAATCTGTGGTTAACTAACCAGGGGCTAATTTTATTTTGAGCAACAGATATTTGACCAGTGGTTCGTTGGCTAGTGGATATATAATTTAACCACCGGCTAACTTAACCAGTGGTCAAAATTAACCAGTGTTTTGAGCAACCCAGTCCTGAAGTCTTCGATGATACTGTACCTCTACTGGTATGTACTTTATGAAAAAAGGAAGAGAAAAGTAGCACTTGGAATTGAAGCTATACCAAAGCAATTAATAGAACAATGATCCTTGGTTTAGTCTCTTTTTTGTGGCATGATCTATTTGCAATCAGACTAATCAGACTAGAACTGTAGGGGGAGTAGCCTTTTGAAAGAATTTCACAGATTTTTTATTTTTATTTTTAGTAACCATTACAACACATTTCATCGAAATCTAAAACGCGATACATACAATTTTTTTTATCTAAGTGTATTCTACTTGTGTGACAAGTTATATCAAAATCAATCAAAAAATGTGGGAAGAGTAGCATTTTGAGAGTATTTTTTAGAAATGTCTATTTTATGGTACCATCGCAACACCGTTTATTTAAATCAAAAACCGACAAAAATAATTTATCTTAGTGTAATCTACTTGTGTGTCAAGTAATATTAAAATCGGACAAAAACTGTAGGAGGGGAAGCCTTTTGAATGTATTTCACAGATTATTTTATTTGCTTCGTAATAAAAAACCCCATAAAAAGAATGATGTGTCTTTGTGAACTTTACTTGGGTGCCAAGTATTACTGAAATCAAACCAAAGCTGTATGAGGAGTAGCATTTTGAAAAAAGAAATTCACAGAAATTTCTAATTTTAGTAACCTTGGCAACATAGTTCATCGAAAAAAAAAAACTGATTCAAAGAATTATGTATATTAGTGTAGTCTGCTTGCTTACCAAGTTATATGAAAATCAGACCAAAACTCTTGGAGGAGTAGCATTTTGAAAGATTTTTTTACAGACAGACTGACGGATGTCGGACACCTTACTATCACATAAGCTCTTCTAATCTCTAACCAGTAAAGGTGAAAATGTTTTAAACCCAGAAAGAATTTCAAATAGGCACTCTAGCCTTAGTGATAGAGATGTTGAACATTTAATCCTATATAAAGAACAGATTTCACACGTCCAAGAGGATGCGAAGTTAATGTTTTTCATCCAAAAAACGAAATGGAGAATAGAGATTGGGTTGCTGATGGACATAGGTATATTTCAAGGATTTATTATTAATAAATATAGCCGTAAAAATTACTGTTCTTATATATTTTAATTCTATCAATTGTTTCCTCTTCTTATTCTGCTATCTCTTATCTTATTTCTTTCCTTTCTTATACATATCTTTTCATGTGAAGGAGCCCGGATGAAAGGCCAAAAAAAAAAAAAGATGCATTAATAAACTTACAAGCTATTGCCTATGAAGACAAGGCATTTGTTCATTTTACTGCTACATTGCTACATTTCCAGACCTAATTGCAATTGATGGAATGGAGAAAATGCTAAAGGAACTGAAAGACAGTCTCCAAATTAGCAGTAAAAATGAACAACTCCTGAGCTAAGATACTACGTTCTCTATGGGTGATTTTACGTATCTGCTGTTTTGTTTAAACATCAAGCTTTCGGGAAAAAAACCCCCTGTTTTTGGTTCACGAACGAAAATTTCAGTCTCACCATGAGCTTATCTTCGACATTCTAAGAAAATATTGCAAGGCTAACCTGGCTAATATCCCGATAGCAATTGATATGGAACGCGGTATACTGAATGCCATTGAGGTAGAGACTAACCTGAAAGTTGTAGGATGTTGGCGTCATCTTAGAAAAGATATGGAAAGGTACACTTCTCAGACGCAAGTTTTATGATGAGGAAATATATAAAATTCTTAGAATGCCCAACAAAAAAGCCATTGAACATAAAATTGAATCAATAAAAGGCAACTGGAAAACTCCAAAATACAGTATTTTGCTCGTGCCTATGTAACTGCATCCCGAAAATTGTGTTACATCTAATCATAGTGAAGGTATTAATTGGTTAAAGAAAGATCTTAACAACTTGAAGGAAGTACCAATAAATGCTGTTGTCTTATCTTTCCGATTTTTACAACAATATTATCTTGGGGAAGTAAGAAGAGGCAAAGCTGGGTTTTTTTACTCTTAAATCAGAATACCAACACTAACAGATTCCTCTCGATGAATATAAACAACACCCAGATTCTGTCCGTAACTACAAGTCAAATGTAGAATCAATTAAAAACTATAAGTTCTGCTTTACAGATGACCAAGGGAATCTACGGTGTCCTCAAATCTGACCAAAATTGCTAAGTCAAAGGAAACTATATCAGGTGACAGGGTTTCTTTTGTTCCTAAAATAGGATGTTTTGTAGTAATGAGATATACACAGTTCAGATTTTCCCCAAGGAAAAATGTTCTTGCCTTATTCCTAACAAATGCTGCCATAATATGTCTGTGAAATTGTCATTACGAATGGATATTGATATGTCCTTTCCTATAAAATCTGTCAACTTGATAGTTTTACGGAAAAATGCTCGCGGTAAAAAGAAGCCTGGTAGAAAGCAGCCAAGGTCTGGAGATGTAGAATATGACTGTCCCAAAGATAGTGCTGGAAATAAAGCAAAACATGAAGTAGACGACCAATGCGTGACAGAGGAAACAGCTGATGTTCGTGCAAGTGTCGAATCCGTGGGTGTAACAATCACGGATGAATCACTTGGACGGATTAACGGAATTATAGATAACGGATGGCTCGATGAAAACCTGATCGATGCTGTTCAAAGTATTCTAAAAAAAAAAAAAAAAAAAAAAAAAAAAAAAAAAAATCATTCATTGCCAGCTTTAAGCATTGTGTCTCTCCAGTTGTTGACAATTTTATTCATATCGTAAATACACACCCTAAAAGTGGTGGTCACTACCATGAATGTCAAATTTACACCCTCTTGCGTTAAACTTTGTGATAGCGCAATGTCAAATTCAATTCCGTCAGCTGTTCAAATGAGCATTTTAATATAATGCATTCTCTGGGGGGAAATAGTGCTCTTTATGAATTCTGATGTCCAGAAAAATGGCAATGACTGTGGTCTCTATGCATTGCAAAAGCCGTTGAGATATGTTTCGGTGGACTACCAGAAAACACTCATTTCCATACTGAAACAATGAGGCTCCATTTGATGAAAATTGTATAACTAACGAAATTTTCCGTAAATTTCCGTCATATCCGTGCATACTCCGTCATATCCGTCAATAGAGTTTAATTAAGGAATGAATTAAATAGCTATCCATTTTATACGGTATAAACTGGGTTGGGGCAGTTTACGCTTTATAAACCGCGAAGCGGTTTATAAAAAAAGCGTAAATTGTTCCAACCCATTTTATACCGTATAAATTGGGTAGCTATTTAATTCATTCCTTATAATTTAATTTTCATTCATTTGGAATAAGAAAAAAAGATGATTGTCCTTAAAAAAATGATTTCAATTTGTACAAAATTTGAATGTAACGTCAGACGGATCGATACGTTTTTGAGGCAAGTCATTGTGACGTAGGCAACCCATTTTATACAATATAAAGTAAATTTTTCATCCAATTAAATACGGCGTTACATCCAGAATTAAATTATTTTGACATAAAGTTGTTTTGCACGTGCAGAATGCCTGAACATGGGTTTATGTTTAATTGTACCAAGTGCTGCCAGTGGTTTCATCCACGATGTCAAAATGCAACACTTAATGAAAAACAAATAAGAAATCTAAAACAATTAAATGTAAGGATTGTAAGAGTTCATAAATGATGTTTTTCCTACAAATCTTTGTCATTTAATTTTGTAACATTTTTTTCCGGAAATATAAATCCCGCATTGTTTTATTGTTTTATTTTTTAATTATAGAACTCACGGATTATTAGTCATGATGATAGGTATAATTTTTGTGGTAAAGTGTAAATATTTGAAAAGTGTATATATTTTTAGTGTTTTAGGATTTTGTGTTTATTTGATATGTTTAGTATTATTATCTACAAAATAATTGTGACATTATTATTTACAGGAAATTTATTTAATTTAACTTATTTATATTTCAGGAATTTATTATTTATTTAAGGTATATTATACTTTAGAAGATACAATTATTTAGGAATTACTTTAGTATTAATAAATATAAGTTCCCCTTATTGTAATAAACTTTGAGAGGTCAGTGACCTATAAAGTGACCCATCAGTGAGATTTCATTGGTCGAGGTTTTTGGAGGGAAATCTTTTTGTGGGCAGTGTATTTTTGGTTAGAACTGGTCATACCAGTCTTTGTGTTCAAACTGACAGGATGTCTTGATGTTCCTGATTTCATACGATTTGGGGTGTAGCAGTTTATTTCTTTGATTGTTCAACTCCAGAATTTCAGGTCTGTTCTTAACATTATTTTCATGTATGATTGTGATTTTGTATGTTTATGTGAAAGTGAGTGAAAAGGTGTTTGAATGGTGAATGCAAGTTTGAGAGATTGTGTAAATGAGCAGTATAAATATTTTATCAGACATTTCACTCTAATTCAAGGATTAAATTGTATATATGTAGGACTGAGTGAAATGAATAAATAAGTGTAAAGTTGTAAAACTATTTTTATAAATAACTTGTATAACTGTAATGTGATTAATAGTAAAATTAGGAATTTTATCTTCTGTTTCATATAATTTAAATAATTCTTTCAATTTAAAAGCCTAGGTACTTTTCATTAAATAAAGCAGTTATTATTATTAAAGATTTTTATAGCAGCTAAGGGAGATTACTCATTGTTATGCATTCCTTATAGGACTGTCACAGCTACATGATCGTATAACTTTCCATATGTACATCCAGACCTTTTGACCATATTAAAGGTAATTTATGTGTTTTGTGTTTATGTGTTGTTCCATTATATGTATGTGTTGACAGAACTTATTTTTTAGTATTTGTCATGCATGTCTATATTTTATGTTGAATTAAATTTCATCTGTGTTATGTCCAATGCATGAAATTGTATTTGTGTTAATGTTCAATATGAAATCATATAAGATTATTTGATTTAGATTTATTTAATATCAGATAATGATTTTGATAATTATTATGATTTTCTTTTATTTTAAATGACTAAATTAATAAAGGAAATATTTTTATGATAAATTGATTTGTGATAAAGAAGTGGTAATTATTTTTATATCAATTTAATTTAAAGAGAATATGAATTATAAAGTATGAGATTTATTAAAATGATGATATACTATAATAGAGTTAAATGTGTATTTTTAGCTTGTCTAATAATTGTTGTTGTTATTACAGGGTCTACTATATTATACTACTCTACTCTACTGTTACCATGGTTACTATTATTTAATAAAATACAACAATGAAGCAAGGATCAACTTCGATTTTATTTAACGAACCCTATTACATTTTCTAAATGTACGGAGATGCACGGACGAATTTATCACCCGTGCAAAAAAATCCATGATTTGTACTATTTTCTGTATTCCGTACATTCGTGATTCCGTGACCTGTCTGTGTTTTGTAAATGGCGAAAGTTTAACGTAATAGTATATCTTGAAAATTCCTTTGCAGTAGCATTTAAAAAGTTGTAGAGGGTTTATGAAGACAAAGGACCTGCCACAATTTCAATCATTAATTGGATTGATTATTTTAGTGAAGGAAGGGAGATGGTTAAAAAGATGTTTGTTCTGGTGCCCATTGAAAGTAAGCTGGGAAAGAGTGACTTTAGTTTAGCAATTTGTTATGAAAGATCGCGAAGTTGCAATTAGAAAGATAGTTGAATATCTAATGCCCTGTTCACATGGAGAGTTTAATTCGCAGTAAATTAATGCGAAGTAAAATGATGCGAATTAAACTAATGCGAATTATAATTTTATTTCTACAGCAAGGCTATTCAGTGAGGCTATTATGACGTCATTTACAAATCACGTCATATTGTGCAGAGCAGATATAAATTTGACATATGTCATAGTGTCTGTACACATTTAAGTGATCAACATAATTTTCCTTTGTTTTCCATTCAAAAATAGCACAAGTACCTACATTTGACCATGGACTTGTGGACTGTGACTTAATTCTGCCCTTACGCATGCGTCAAAATTTAATTCGAATTAGCTTCGCTTAGCGTTCACACGGAGCTAATGCGAAGTAATTTAATGCGCAGTAAACTAATTCGAATTAAACTAATTAGCACTAAATTCTCCGTGTGAACGCGGATCAATTTAATTTGCAGTAACTTACGTTTAATTCGAATTAAACTCTCCGTGTAAACAGGGCATTAACAATAAAATAATTATTAAATCCCTACAATATCATTTACCTTAGACTTAAAACTTAAAACAGAAATCAGATATAAGGAGAAAGCGCCCATTCTTAAGGACATACGCAACACAGTTTGAACTTTATTGTCTTTTTCCCTGGAGTTGAAGAGTTTCAATACTCAAAGGGACTGTGTGCTACATTTTAATGTCTATATATGCTGTTGTACACGTCTTCTAAAACAAGTTTGGATAAACAAAACATCTAGAATATATGTTTAGTAATTTTTGCAAGTTGTTCTTTGAATTATACAAGAATTTTCATTAATTGATATCTTTTCAAGACCACTGGTAATGCATGCTGATTTTTTGTCTACGAACATCTGATGTTACTATAATCTTAAGTTAAGAACATCTTGAAAAATTATCAGTAGGCAGGGTACGTTGCGTATGTCCTTAATCCACATTGGATAAACGACGCACCCAAGACAGAGGAGTGGGGTTGCGATGGTCACCATGCTTATTCTGGGAAAGGATAACCTTATCCACCCATTCTATTGCCTAGATTTGTCCATTTGTGACAAATGGACTATTCTTCTTATTTTAAAAAACCTGCATGGAAAGAAATATAAAACACGGGTAAATATTAAATCTGTGAACAGTACGCTACGGAGCATGTCATGTGACCGCCTGGTCCACGTGATTAGAGCATGGGCAGAACGATGGCAGATGTGCATTAAAATCGGAGGGGACTACTTAGAAAAAATAATAACACTGAAACCTAATTTTATTTCTTTTATGGAAGTGATTCAATTAGTTCGCCAACTTTTCGATCACCCTTCGTATAATTAATATATTACTCATTGAAAAAAGTAAGGATCTTCTACTTGATATCCCCAACTCTCCAAGTAGACATGACACCATCACAATTTTTCACACTGTGGTAGCTAATCACGAAAATCCCGGAAAAGGGGACTTTTCAGATCTGAAGTTTATGGAAATCGCAAGACGAAACACTTCCTTTAAGTTTGGCTTAATGGTGGTTTATAGGTCCTTAATGATGGTTTAATGGTTTTCTTTAAGTCACCCTTAGATTGAAGGGAGAACACTTTAACCACTGAGCTATCGGGGCTGTTATAATAGTAGTGAAATATAAGACCTTTATTTGTAACAAACCGTGTTTGGACTTGTACATGTACATGTATTTTTTTTCTAACGTTTATATTTATTAATCAATAATATGAATAATTATATTTATATATATTTAAAAAAAGAAATTTTTATTAAGTTTAACATTACGTTAATATTTCTTAAACGTGGACCGTTGTTCGGTGTGATGGTGTGAAACAACTTTTTGATTTTAAGTTACTGAATTACTCGTTCTATAATTCGCAGATTTATAAGAAATTCAACAGATATAACAAAATTTTGTTATTAAAAAGAAATATATCATCGAAAGAGAACGATGGAAAAAAAATGATAATAGTTCTTATAAATATGCTGCGGATATTTACAATTTTTTTTTTTTTTTTTGCAATTAAATTGACAATCTTTGGAACGTGGCTCTCCACACACGAAAAAAAAAAATACGTGATTTTTAAAAGAATTAATATATAATATGTATTTATGGATAAAAATAATTTAAAACAAGTATTTAAACAAGCTGATTTTAGGTAGCGAAAATTTTAAGGCATTTGGTAAAGCTGTTCTCAGTTTCCGAGTTTATACGCATTGACAATAATGTCAGAAATAGCGAGAAAAAATTATGAATTGAATAAGAATATGCGTAAATGATATTGAAACAACTTTAAGCTTAACAAGTTAGTTTAAGACTTGATAATGGATGCGTTAAGGTGGTTTAATTCAGTTTGGACATTAAGCCACCATTAAGCTGCAGTTTAAAGGTGGCTTAATGGTAGCGTACTGAAGTTTGGACATTAAGCACCTAGAAGCTCAGCTTAATGGTGGCTTAATGGTGGTTTAAAGGAATTAACTTCTATAAGCCACCATTAAGCTACCATTAAGCCACCATTAAACGATTGCTTAAAGATGGTCTTTCGCCCTGTGAATACTGCACTTTGAATTAAGAATTTATTAACAGATTGATTGTAGTTTTATGACAACTGAAAGATATTCTTCCACTCATATGAGACGTCAACGGATATCACTGATTGGCTTCGGATTTTGACCATTTCTTGTCACTCGGGCTATTGAGCAGCAGGGTTCTCTTAAGAATGTCAACGCCTGCCATTACACAGGAACTCGTTTTTAAGATCTCATCCGAAAGACCCACAACATTTCACATTAGGAACTTTGGCGCCTATCTCCAAAACTAGATCATCCATCACCATTTTTTTTACAGTGATGGTAGATTTCAAAAAGACCCCACCCTGAAACTTGTGGTGGCGTTGTTTTATTAAATGTTATATACATATAAAAATTCAAATTAATAAAGTTCTGGAATGCTGTTTATTTTTCAGTGGTTATTATTCATATGCAAACTGCGTTCAAAATTCTTGTTGCGTTATACGATAGTAATATAGATAACGATTATTTTTCTTGATTTACCTGGACTTTTTTCCTTTGTTGTCAACAATATTTCATCTTCATCTTTAAAAGAAAAAAATAGTTTCATTATTACTTAGAATTTGTATTTGCTATGATAAACAAGAGGCTTAAAGACCTTAACGGTCACCAGAGTATAATACAACATTGTAAATGATTCACAGAAGTACATTGTATAATTAAAGTAAAATAAACTGATAGATGAAGCTATGTTGCCTTGAAGCAAGAGAATAGGATGACCAGGGATCAACAAAATAACTAGTCTAGTACCTTCTAAGTAACAAATCTTTTAGTAGATCTATTTACTTGTCCCCATTTGAACTATCACTAAGTGAAACTTAATAAAACAACCATGCTTGAGTGCTATCAGTGTAACTATCGCATTCCCTATCACATAGGCTTATCTGGTATTTGAAGAATATTCAATCTACAAAGATAAGGTATTTTTTGTCGCATTTTTTAATTATCTACCATTTACAATTCTACCTGACCATTAAAAACATGAGAGTACTTTTTGTATTATATATTATTAAAATTCTTGCATAAATCTTTTATTTAATTGATCTTTCAAATACATTATTTACAGTGATTAATTATCACAAGTGAGTAACAAATGGAGAATTATTTCTCTCAGTAGAAAACAAATTAATAAAGCCTTCCTAGCACCGGAACACTTGTCCAAGTGGTTCAAAATTTAAAAAAGCTGGTAAGAATACCCTTGCTATTACAGCTTTGTAGCAGAGAAGAGGATTTTCGAAGATATAGTGCATTTTTATTATATAACCAACACAGTCCCGCCCTTACACCACAGCCTCTGACTTTGGGGCCAAAAAATTCAAATTTTGGTGGGAGACCCTTGATAATTATAACCAGGCACATAAAATGTGTGCTTTATACCCGAGCAGAGAAGAAGACTTTCAAAGAAATAATGCATTTCTACTATTTTTTTTAACAGAGTTCTACTCTAGGGGCAGAATCCCTTACACAGGACATTTTAAGAGGCAGTCCATCAAAAAGCCAGGCAATGGGTGGCACATCGCATGTAATGGATTTTAATTATTTTTTGCATGTAGACTTATTAAAGCAAATGTTTACACATGGCAACATCAAATTTTTTTAGTGTTCCTCTAGTCCTATTTTTGGTAAGTGCTTAATTTTAAGTGCAAAAAGGTCAACATGTTGGTTAAAAATTTACTACGTTTTTGTTTTGTTTTATTTGAAATAGATACTCAAAAACTGGATATGTCAATAAATATTATTTATAGTATAAACTCTTATCTTCTATAATATCTATGAATAAGACACCAATTTATATTTCTTTAGAAAAAATTATGTGGTCTAAACTTTAGTTATGCAAGTGACTTAATAAATTTTCATTACGTTCTAAAATCCAATACATTTAAATGTCAAAACTTTCTCCTCATGTTATTATGAATAAAAAGTACAAATTGTTGAATCAATTTAAAAAAAAATTGGTGGGAACAGGTATATTGAGAGAAATAAGAGGCGTCAAATTATCTACTTCTTATAAAGAGCAAGAGCCACCAAC